AAACAAAATAACAACAAAAAAGAGCCTGGGTGGCTGGAGCAGAGGGACTGGGGGAGAGACAGGGAGGTAACAGTGATCATGCAGGGCCCTGTGGGCTGGGGTGAGACCTGGGCTTCTTTCTACCCAGAACTAAGTGGGAGCCATGGAGGGCTCTGTACTGGGGAAGAACCTGACATAATTCGGAGGCTGTGAGGCTCCTCCTCGCTGCTAGGGGCTGGGGACAAGTTGTGGGGAGGCGGGAAGTGAGAGACCATGTATGAGAACTGGCAGAGGGGAGATGAGATGCCCTACATCCACACCCAACTCAGTCTCCTGCCCAGGACGTCTCCCTGGCCCTGAGAGGTGAGGCAGGGACTTTAGCTGGGTCGGCTGTAGGGTGAGGCTGGGTGGGGCTATGTTGGGCATCTTCTGGGCCAAAGTGGCTGGACCGCTCTGGGAAGGTGCGTGGGCACAGGTCTCAGCTGGGCTGGGAGCAGCCCTGCGTGGCCTCCTAGCCCAGACGGAGTCCTGGGAGGGACAGGGTGTAGGGGTTTCTCTACCATCCAGTCTCCTTCCTGAGGTTCAGGCTGTCACAAGATTCACTGGCCAATAGGAATGAGTCTCTCTGGGCCTCAGTTTTCTCATGTGTGTGGAGGATAATCCCAGCGTCTATACATGGGAAAAAATAGCACCTGTAAAGGCCCTGTGGCAGAGTTTGGATCCTAGTATTATTCAAGTTCTCTCTGGGATGTTTGTTTGGCTGGATTTTTTCAGACAGGGTCTTACTATGTAGTTCAGGTAGACCTTGAACTCACTATGTAGGCCAGGCTAGCCTCAAACTGGGGGAGATCCTCCTGCCTTAGCCTCTTAAGTGCTGGGAATACAGTCCTTGAGCTGTTTTGTGACCACAACTCCAATGGCTCTCCAGGAGGAGGGATCTGCCTGTGAGTGAGGGCTGGAGAATTCTCTAAAACTGCAACCCCACAGCTAGGAGAGGGGCTGTAGGGAAGAGATGGGAGACCACAAATTAACAAGCCATTCCCACACCTTCCTTCTAGTGGACGGAACCTTCCAGATGGGTCTCATAGGTCTCACTGCCTGGTCCAGAGTCACCTCTCCAGGCACCCCAGAGTCCAGCTGGACTCTACCTTCTATCTCTCTACCTCGCCGTGGAGGCCTGGGGGATCGTTGTGTCATTCTGAGCAAACCCCTTAAAAGCTCCGTGCCTCGGTTTACCCATCTGTATAAATAGTTCCTCCCACTTACGCCAACTGCAGAGCCATGCACGATACACATTAGAAATTACACCTCATATGATTTTTTGGGGGTAGTATTACTGGGGATTCCACCCAGGCAACTTCATACTGAGCTACACCCCCAGCACTTTTTTGAGACAGGCTCTCGCTAATTGCCCAGGCTTGGCTCAAACTGTGATCCTCCTGCCTCAGTCTCCCAGAGTGCTGGGATGACAGGCGTGAGCAACCTTGGCTTGGCTTTCCTATGATTATTAGATATGTGGACGTTGATATCGTTTTTTTTCCAGCCAGGAATCAGAGGGTGGAAAGAGCGCCCACACCCCGCCCCTGCTGCCCCTCTCCAACCTTGCTGTGAGCCTCAGTTTCCCCACTGTTGCTCCGAGCACGAGCACGTGCAAGAGACCCACCCTGGGAGGAAGAGGCATCCAGAAGGCCCCGCCCCCGGTTCTGGCCCTGCCCAGACCGGCTCCAGCCCCGCCCATAAAGGCTCAGGTCCCGCCCCCGGAAGATCGGAGCCCAGCCCCACCCCGCCCCAAGGACACCGCCCCACCTCTAGAAGGCCCCCTCCGCATCCCCACGCCCATCCTGGCTCAGGCTCCGCCCTCATAAAGCCTTGTCCTCTAAAGGCCTAGCTCCTGCCACGCCCCACCGGACTCATGCCCCGCCCCTGTAATCCCCGCCCCTTGAGACCCCGCCCAGACCGGCTGCCCAGACCCGAGCGGCGGCGGCGACGCCGGGACGCCATGGCGGCCGCCGAGCGCCGCGCCTTTGCGCACAAGATCAACAGGTAGCTCGGCTGGGGGGACTCGCGGTGCCTCCACGTGGGCCCACCCCGGCGCGGCCCCACCCTCCTCGGCCGGGGCCCCTCCCATTCAACCCCCCTCCGCCTCTGGGGGACACCGGGGACCGGCACCGGGGACCGAGTCGGCGGGGGGCGCGGGGGGCCCGGCTGGGGTCGCTCGGGGGCGACAGCGCGATGGCTGCTGAGGTCTCTCCGGGGCGGCTGCGTGCATGGGGGCGTGACCGGGGGGCTTCCCGAAGGAGGCTGCGCGGGACTGCGAGTCCCCAGTCCAGGGTGGGGGTCCCCAGTCCATGGTGGGGGTCCCCAGTCCAGGGTGGGGGTCCCCAGCTACAGGACATGGGGGGTGGGTCCCCAGGTCCAGGGCGCGGGGCGTCCCCTGCTCCAGGAGGGTGGGGTCAAGGATTTTCTCTTCCCTTCGCGGCGCCTGGTTTGGGGATGCGACTCCTGGTGGCCTTTGGAGCCCCCTATGCCCCCCCACACACTTCTGGTCCCTTGCCCAGCTGTCCAAAGGAGGGGAGATATGGGACAGCTGTGGAGGGCCTCCCACCTCCTGCCTCTGACGCGTTGGGTGGTGGGCGATTGAATAGGAGTGGGGGCTGGGACTGAACCAGCTGGTGGGCGGACGGGGGTGGGGGGTGGTAGGCGCCAGGCGCTGAGGGATCCGTTTCTGTGGCCACTGGGGGTGGCGAGAGAGCCAGCTGGGAAGGGGGGTGTCAGACCCTTCCGGGCTGAAAAGTGGGGTCTTCATCCCCAGGGGTGGGTTCAGAACCTGCTCAGGGATCTAATCCCCTGGGGACATGTCCCAGTCACCTGGGGTGGCAGGAGAGCTGTCCTGTAGGTCCCATCCTGATGGATACACAAGAAAAGACCCCACTGTGGGTGTAAAATGAGGGGACAGATAAGAAGCACCATACCTTGAATTGTATGTTAGTGATACATGGCTGCAGGAACGTTGAAGTCAGAGCCTGCCTAGTGATAGGAAGTGGGTCTGGGAGGCCCGGATGAGCAGGTGCATTTCAGCAAGGACAAGCAGGAAATGAGGGAGAGATGAATGCCCATGAGTAGGGGAAGATAGGTCCAAACACATTTGAGGGCAAGTGCAAAAGTCCTGGGGCAGCAAAGGAGACAGCAGCAGTAAATGTTTTGAGCCTTAGGTGGAAAGGACTGGACTTTGACTTCAGCTTCAAGTGAGGTGGGCACCATGCAGAGTTCTGAGCAGACGTGACCTGATATCGGGCAAAATGGTTGGGGGCTTTTTACGTTCTGCCATTCTTTATCTTTGAATTACCTCTCTGTCTCGTACTCCTGGCATCTCTGCCTCCCAGACTCTTATGTCCATGAGTCCCAGCTTCTACTGCAGTGAGAGGAGGGGTCTTGGGTCCTGGTCTGGGAATGATGGCGAGAAGCCTGGGGCAGATCAGAAAAGGACCCTGGGGTCCCAGTGAGCAGGTGGCCCAAGGCTTTTCAAACAGACAGGGGGACCCCAGGGCTCTTTATGCCCAGAACTGAACCTGTGCTCTTCTGCTTGTTCAGTTGCATCTCATAAATGCCAGATTAACCCAAATATCCAGGAGCCCCCAGGTGCCTAATGAACAGGTTTTTTTTCTTTTTTGGTGGATTGAACCCAGAGCCTCCCACATGCTAGGCAAGCACTTTGCCACTGAGCTACTTCCCAGTCCTTTCCTAAAAATTTATTTTTAAAAATATATATATATTTTTTTTTGGTACCAGGGATCGAACTCGGGTCCTTGCGCTTTCGAGGCAGGCGGCAGAACCACTGAGCTAAATCCCTGGCCAAAGGAACTTTGTTTTGTTTTTTTGGTGCTGGGGATTGAACTTGGGTCTTTGTGCTTGCGTAGCAGGTGGCGAAACCACTGAGCTAAATCCCAGCCCTTAAAAATTTATTTTGAGACAGAGTTGTCCAGGCTGGCCTCAAACTGCTATCCTCATGCGTCAGCCTCCCTGAGTCCTGAGATGACAGGCATGCACCACCATGTTTGGCTAAAATAGATTCTTTAAAAAAAAAAAAAGGTTTTGAGCTGGGGATTTAGCTCAGTGGTACCGCAGCCTGCCTCTCAAGCACAAGGTCCCAAGTTCCATCCCTGGTACCAAAATAACAAAATAATAATAATAATAATAATAATAATAATAAGGTTTTGGCCAGGTGTGGTGGCACATACTTGTCATCCCAGCACTCAGGAGGCTGAGGCAGGAGGATTGCTGCAAGTTCGAGGCCAGCCTGAAGTTCACAGTGAGACCTTGTCTTAATAAATAAATAAAGTGAAAGATTTTTTAGCTGGGCATATAGTTCAGTGGTAGAGCAAGTGCTTAGCATCCATGAGGCCCTGAGTTCAATCCCCAGCACACAGAAAAAACAACAAGGAAAAAGAAGTCTCTACCTGTAACCCCAGCTACTCAGGAGGCTGAGGCAGGAGGATCAAAAGTTTGAGGCCGCGCGGGCCAGTTCTGAAAGATCCTGTCTGAAAAGAAAAGAAAAAGATTTTGGGGACAAGAGAGCAACAAAAATTGATAAACTTAGGGCCAGGGATATAGTTCAGTGGTGCCGTGCCCTCCTGGCAAACACAAGGTCCTGAGTTCGATGTCTGGTACCAAAAAAATTAAATAAAACTGATAAACTTTTTTGGGTGCAGTTAACATGGACAAATGCTGCTGTTTGTAGTATAATTTTTTCTCCCTTGTACCTTTTTTTTTTTTTGGTACCGGGGATCGTAACTTGTACCATTTTGAGCAAATGCAATATAGAGTGATGATAATCCTCAGTGATTACTGTGTGGGGGTCCCACATGAGGATCTTCACTTGTTTAATTGTCAACTGCAGCCCATTAACTGAGGTGCAGCTCTTGACACCAAGGCTCCAAGAGGCTTAGTGTTTAAAATGCTCTCAAGGGTGGGAAAGGGACCAGGACTGTGTAGCCCCAGAGTCCAGAACAATCTTGAAAACCATGCCCCTTTCCCCCCTCTGGAGGCTGAGGCAGGAGGATGGCAAATTCCAGCCCAGCCTGGGGAACTTAGCAAAACCCTGTCTGGTAATAAAAAATAAAAAGGGTTGAGAATGTACCTCAATGGTAGAGCATTTGCTTAGCACATCCTGGATTCAATCCTCAGCACTTCAAAAAGAACTGTGACAGAAGACATCCTTGCAAAAAAGTGGAAATTTTATGTATTTATTTTGTGTATTATTTTTGAGACGGGCTTGCTAAGTAGCCCAGGCTGGCCTTGAACCTGCAGCCATCCTCCTGCCTCAGCCTCCTGAGTCCTGGGATGCAGGCGTGCACCACCACAGCCACTAAGTGCAAAGTTCAAATGGTAATAACAATGCAAATAACAGGGAAAACGCCCCTTAGGTGGAAGGACAGCACCCTGACTCCAGCAGCCCCTCCTGATATGCACCTAATTCTGCCCTACCTGGGAGCCATTGAACTGATAGCTGTGTCCCTTGGGATATGGTTTCTGCCTCTAGGTTCCTTCCCTGTGTGCCATGGTTTAGTTTTGCCTACTTTAGAATGTCATATGAACAGAAGCTGTGCACATTGGTGCATGCCTGTAATTCCAGCACTTGGTAGGCTGAGGCAGGAGGATCACCCCAAGTTCAGAACTACATGGAGGGAGCCTGTCTCAAAAAACTAAAACAAGGGGCCGGGGATTTAGCTCAGTGGTTTCACCGCCTGCTGCGCAAGCGCAAGGACCTGAGTTTGATCCCCGGTACCAAAAAAAAAAAGTAAAACAGAGGGCCGGGGATTTAGCTCAGTGGTGCCAGTGCCTGCCTTGAAAGCGCAAGGTCCTGAATTCGATCCCTGGTACCAAAAAAAAAAAACTAAAACAAACAAAAAAATTCTACCAATGGAGGCTTTATATGATTTGATGGGATTCGTTTCTTTCCCTTGCTTATTGTGCAAATGAGAACAGGAAGCAAGTGAGGCTTTGTGCTTGTCTCTGGCTTTCTCATCTTCCTTTCTGGTGAGGATAGACGTCTATTAATCTGGCCAGCCCAAGATGAGGTCCACAGGTGTCAGTTTTTCCCATTGCAACCATGTGATTAGCCTTGGCAGACCCAATGAATTTAGCTCAATTTTTTGCCTCTTTTTTTGAAACAGTCGGGGGGCATCTGAAGAAGCAGGTCTTGTGGGGGTGAGGAAAAGAGAAATTAGGTGGGGATCCTGGGCATCATGAGGGTCAGGCTGCCATTAATGAGCAGGGAGGATGGCGGGAATGTGCAGTGGGGACACGCTGCGTAGGAGGTACCTATAAGTCCCCCACATGGACACAGGTGGTCACGTGGAACAGACCCAAGGATTTTTGCCAAGAATTTTTTTTGTCTGTGTTGAGACAGAGTCTACGTAGTTCAGGTGGGCCTTGAACTTGCAGAGACCCTCCTGCCTTAGCCTCCTGAGAGCTGGCATTTCAGGCGTGCGCCACTGCGCCCCCCATTTTTCTCCTAGGAACTTAGATGGTGGGAAGCCCTGAGGCTGGATGGGACCCTTAGGGACATGGGCAGTGACAGGGAAGACTGGGTTCTGTAGTCCCCATGCTTGGCCCTGCTTCGGGGTTGTGGGTCAGTGTGAACTCCAGAGCCTAAAAGCACAGACTTTGACATTGGCCCTTCTGAATTTGACTGTGCAGCCTTGGGTGGGACAAAAGCCCTCTGAGCCTCACCCACCTGTGTGGGGATTTTGTTTTTGTCTTTTTCTGTTTTGTTTTTGTAGCACTGGAGATTGAACCTAGGACAAGGTCTTGCCAAGTCAGGCTGGGCTCAAACTCATGATCCTCCTGCCTCACCCTCTCAGAATGCCGAGATTACAGGGGTGCACAACCATGTCCATCTCTCACTCACTTTTGGCATGAAAAAGAGCCAGAGCCAGGCGTGTGCCAACACGCCTGCAATCCCAGCACTCAGGAAGCTGAAGCAGGAGGATCGCCTCAAGTTTGAGGCCAGCCTGGGCTGCAGGAGAGCCTGTCTCAAACAAACAAACAAAAACAAAACACAGCTGAGCTTGGTGGTTTACACCTATGATCTCAGCACTCTGGAAGGCTGAGGCAGGAAGATGGCAAGTTAGCAACTTAGTAAGACCCTATCTCAAAATAAAAACTCAACAGAGGGCTGAGGCTGGAGCTCAGTGTGAAGGCCTTGGGTTCAATCCCCAGCACCATAAAAAAGAAAAAAGTAACCACTCTGATGAGGGAATCTTAATTCTAATCACCTCTAGATCCTGTGGTCAGGTTAAGTTTCTGCCCTCCTCATGCCTCATAACGGGTTAAGTTTCAACCCTGTCCATGTCTATCCCATAACTCACCGCGCTCCGCCAGCCCCAGACACCCACCCAGGGACAGGTCAGCAGGCTCCCGGCCCTGCCCTGGAAGTCCCACGGGGAGGACAGAAGCTGGAGGCTCCGCCTGCCCTCCTCCGCCTCTGGGGCAGCAGCTGTGGAACAGCTGGGTGCTGGGCACAACCTGGTCCCCTGTCCTGAAGGCCTTCATGACTCACACCCCAGCTCCTGGGTTCCAGAGCTCTGCAGGAGGCTGCCCTGGCTTCTTGAACTTGAGCACAAACCCTTGGTTTAAAAATTTTATTTCTTTACTGTGGTGGAACCTGGGGTCTCCCAAGCTCAGCAAGTGCTCACCACCGAACTGCACCCGCAGCCCAAGAAAATCCTGATTTTCAACACCCTTTAAATCTCTTTGAAGCACCTCCTACATCATCACCCCCAGCTATAGAAGCAAGATTCTGGGATTTTAGAACAATAGACAGAATACAGCCGGGCACAGTAGTGCATGCCTCTGATCCCAGCACTCAGGAGGCTGAGGCAGGAGGATCCTCAAGGCCGGCCTGGGGTCCATAGTGAGTTTAAGGCCACCCTCGGGTATATAGAGAGACCCTGTCTCCGAAAACAAAAAAGCAAAAGAAAACAAACAACAACAGCAAAGGCCTTCTCCGGTTCTGAGTTCAGGGCAGCTACCAGTGGGTAAACTGAGGCTCAGAATTAGTACTAAGGTGCCAAGGCCCCATAGCAAAGGATATGGGGTGCGTGTTCTAGATGGGGGACTGGGGTGTTTAGGGAACCCCAGGGAAGGCAGAGATCCCTCTGATGAGGGAGCAGAGGGCAGGATGGGGGCAGGACTGTGAACCCCTCAAGTCAGGCCCAGTGTGGGTTTTCCATCTGTGCTTGATGGAGGAGTTAGAAAGGTCCTGGACCCAGCGTTGGGGGTACCCTGGAGTCTGCAGCCTGGGTTTTCCTTTCAGTGGCCTAGACTCTTTTTAACCCTAGCCAGCACTCTGGGACGCTTCAGGCAGGAGGATCACAAGTTCGAGCCCAGCCTGGGCAATTTAGTAACTTAGCAAGATCCAGTCTCAAAATAATAAAAAAGGCTGGGGACATAGCTCAGTGTGAAGGCCCTGGGCACAGGGAGGGGGGTGACTCAGTTGGCCCAGAGCCTGAGTTCTCGTACCCCTAAGAGTCCCCTTCTGTCTGTCGCCGAAGGACGGTAGCCGCCGAGGTGCGGAAGCAGGTGTCCCGGGAGCGCAGCGGCTCTCCCCACTCCAGCAGGCGCTCCAGCAGTTCCCTGGGGGTGAGTGTTTAGGGGGGACCCCACCCCACGACCCTGCCCTGCAGCAGGCGTGGGGGGCTCCCCTGTGACAAGTCTGCCTGCCCTGTGGGAACCCTGCACTGGCAGCGGCAGGGGGATGGCAAGGGGCGTCCCAGTGCCTCCTGTCCTGGCGCTGCTCTCCAAGGCCTTGAACCGGAACTGGCTGCTTGGAAAGCCTGCTACTTCCGGGACCACCCAGGTGGGGCTGGGGGCTGGGGAGACTTCCAGCTTTGGGAAGGGGACGGGTGTCTTTGGCCTCAGGCCTTAGGGATTGACTTCTATTCCTTTCAACAAGCTTCCTTCCTCTCCAGACACTGGGGTGTGATTTCCTTCCTGGAGCTCTGAGGGTGGGCTGGGCCCAGGCTAGTGAGGGTGGAAAGTATGGCTGTTTCCGCTCCAAAACCCTCCATGGCTCCCACCGCTCCCTCCATCCCCACTTTACCAAGGACCCCCACCCTCATTCCCAGCCTCCAGGACAGCAGGGTCACAGCCATTTTGCTTCAACCCAGGTCCCTCTGACAGAGGTCATTGAGCCCCTGGACTTCGAGGATGTGCTCCTCAGCTGGCCTCCAGATGCCGAGCCAGGGCCCCTCAGGGACCTGGTGGAATTCCCAGCTGATGACTTGGAGCTGCTGCTACAGCCCCGGGAGTCCAGGACCACGAAGCCTGGGGTCCCCGAGGATGGGTGTGTCCTGCCCCCGCCCTGTCCTGCCCGCCCCCCATCTGCAGCCTGGCTCCCAGATTCCAGTGGCTCTGGGTTCAACTCTGGCTAGGCTGTGTGACCTTTGCAGGTCATCCTCTCACTCTGAGCTCCTGTGTCTGCAGCTCTGAAATAGGCAGAGCCAGTCCCAGCCTCCCCTGCCACTGCTCCTGTCCTCAGTAGGCCCTGCCTCTGTTTACCCTGCTTGTATTTGGTACAGGATGGATGCCCAGGCCAGAGCTGCAGTGGAGATGTACACGGAGGACTGGGTCATTGTCCACAGGAGGTGGGTTTGACCAGGGCCACTCACAGGGGCAGAGGCTGGACATGATGGCACACACTTGTCATCCCAGCACTCTGGGAGGCTGAGGCAGGAGGATCACAAGTTCGATCACAGCCTGGGCAACTGAGCAAGACCCTGTCTCAAAATAAAAAACCATAAGGGCTAGGGATGGAGCTCAGAGCGAAGGCCCTGGGTTCGATGCAGGCTGAGCTCAGAAGAGCTGAGCCATTGCCATCTGCAAGCGGTCTGCCTGCCCACGGACCCCACCAGTCTCCTGGATTTCTCCGATTGAGCTCCCAGCCCTGCCTCTGCAGGTACCAGCACCTGAGTCCCGCTTACAGCCCCACCACCGCCGACACCCAGCGAGAGCGGCAGAAGGGCCTGGCCCGACAAGTGTTCGAGCAGGACACCTCCGGGGACGAGAGGTCCAGCCCCGAGGACGCGGTGAGGCAGCCCCCGGCCAAGGTCACCTGTGGGTGTGAGGGTGTGGATGTAGGGAATGACTTTAGCCCGAGCCAAAAGGAATCCCGTCAGCCCAAAGAGTGAAAAATAAAGGGTGAAGCCAAGGTTTGGTGGTCAGCTTGGGTCCTGTGCCAGTGATGGCCACAGTGGGAAGAAGTCCCTCCTACCCTGGCAACAATGAGTGAAGTCCCAGGGAAGGCTCTCGTTGGTCCAGCGTAGGACGGTATGTTCTCATTGGCTGGATGAGGGTCACTTGAAGTCAGAATAGGAGCTAGGAAGAGCCTAAGGATAGCAAAAGTGGGTGGGCCTGTGTGATTTACTGTACTCCTGTAATCCCAGCTCCTTAGGAGACTGAGGTTGGGAGTTCGAGGCCAGCTGGGCTACATAGTGAGTTCAAGGGCATCCTGAAGTACATAGTAAGACCTTGTCTCAAAACAAACAAACAACAAAAGTAAAAAGTGGGTTGTTCCCTAGATAGAGACTCCTGGAAGGGGACTCCCTAAACCCTTAGGTAAAACTTGTGCAGATAGATAGAGGCAGGGACGGTCCTCCGGACTTGGGACGAGGGTGCATTCATGCATTCAGCGGGTGCTCAATGCTTCCACTTTCTCCAGGGGCAGGACGACTCCCGGCGTTGCTCGGGCTCCCCCGACGACACCCCACGGAGCAGCGGTGCCTCTGGCATCTTTGACCTGAGGAACCTGGCGGCCGACTTGCTGCTGCCTTCGCTGCTGGAGCGGGCGGCGCCGGAGGAAGTAGATCGGCGCAACGAGGCCCTGCGGCGGCAGAGTCGGGCCCGTGCACTGCTTACACTCTACCCTGCGCCCGACGAGGTGAGTGGGTGGTCCGGACGACCAAAGAGGCAGTTCCTTCCCAAGGGTGCCCCAGCCCATGGTCACTGCGCGTAGACCGCGGGCCTTGGCTGCAGGCGGCAGCGCTGGGTGTATATACCTGCTGTATATCCTTGTACTTACCCAGCCCGCTTTTAGGGGACACCAACTGTCTACCCTTGTATCTGTCCAACCCGCACTCATCCATGCATTCAGGGGTACTAGGGATCAAATCCAGGGCTCCTCTACCACTGAACTACATCTCCAGCCCTATTTTCTTTTCTTTTCTTAAAAGAGACAGGGTCTCTCTATGTAGTTCAAGCTGGCCTTGAACTCACTATGCAGCCCAGGCTGGCCTCTAACTCTTGGTAATCTTCCTGCCTCAGCCTCCTGAGTGCTAGGATGATAGACATTTGGCACCATGCCTGGCTCAACCACTTCTTTTTTTTTTATACTCAATTAATTTTATTTTTTTTCT